GACGTTTCGGAACCATGTGGCCCTTTCTTCAAGCAAACAAAGCGACGCACATGGCAAAGGGACCACATGGAAACGTTGCGTAACAATGTGACACAACCACGGTCAATGAAGAAGATTGACTAAAAATCAAGTTGGGGTGCGAGTGACTTTCTATGATTTGCAGAGACGTCTGCAGTCACTTCAGCACCCACCCGACATTGAGGGTTTTTCCTGGTCAGGGGTGTGATGGCATCTACTATGCATTACTACCAAGCAACACAAACTGATGGTGCCATCTCCGAAGCAAACAGTAAATATGTTGCCAGTCAGGGAACTTTTACAAAGACGTCACTGTAAAGACATGCAGCATTTCTGGACCTCTTTATCAAAGTTACAGAGTGGCAATGTTCCTACATTATCCAACCAGCATGCTGGTGGTGGGTTAGTGACCAAGGTGCAGTGAGGTCACAAACCTGTCTGGGCTATCTGGCAGGGGTGCCTGGATAACAAAAATAATTACAAACCCTCTAGCTGGTAAGAAATTATTAATTTATGTATTACATGTGAGTGTTTATTAGATTGTCTGGAGTTCAGTATTGAGAGAATGAGACATTAACTGTGGGATGGTCAATGTCATGGAAGCCCTATCAGTTTAGTCTTTAACAAATTCAGCCAATCGGAGAGTCCTGGGGATGTGACTTGCAACTTCACTTCCCAATCAAACTATGAACAACAGCAGTCACAAATCGACCCCACACAAGCAGATGCGGCCATTCTGCGATCATCAATGATGATCAGTTTCTCCAATGGACTCATTCGATCTGCAGATGGATAGTCTGTACATAATTGTATACATTGGATAAAGATTGCCAAGCTGGGCCAAAAGGGACCTGCTGAAGTGAACGGATATCTTCAAGGAATTACAATGCACAGTGTAACAGCATAAAATTAATTTCTCATTTTTGTTCTTTGCTGACATACACTGAGTGGCCAGATTATTATGACCACCTGTTTTTGCCTACAAACACCACGTTTGTAGGCAAATTAGCTATAATTTTGCGCTGAAGTTGCTAGAGGGCCAGAACATTATAAATAGGGAAGCAGGTTGTTTACCACGACAGTAGAAGTGATTTTTTTCTGAAGATTAAGGGTAAACAACGCGATTTAACAGCCTTTGAACGTGTGATAATTGTTGGCGCTCGGAGCTATGGAGCGAGTATCAGCAAAACAGCAGAATTCATTAAATGTTCAAGAGCAGCTGTTGTTAAAGTGTTTAAAGACCGGACTGTCAGCCGAAAATCTGGCTCTGAACGTGCGAATTGTGGCCGTCAGCGACTAGTCAATGTTAGGGCAGAACGGAGAGTGGCAAGACTGGTACAAGACAACAGAAGGACAACAGTGCAGTGTCAGATTCCTCGCATCACCTTTCATCATCTCGTGGAGTCACGAGGCGGCCCAACGAAGTCATCTCGTGGCCCAACGAAGTACTGATGGGGTGGTCATAATAATCTGGCCACTCAGTGTATAACAAAGTATGAGATTTTTAGTAGCTCATCTGCGCTGATAAAAATCAGAAGAGACTTACCACTAGGAGTGGCAATCGGTGGAACAATTGGCTTCCTATGTAGTCAGCTATAAGTATTGTCACAACAATTCATTTCATGTGATCGCACAATGGTCCAATAATAAATTACTATTAGATGCTACTGTTGTATGTTATTTGTGTACCTGATTCCATAGAGAGCTATTTGTTCCATCTGCCCAGTGATCAGTTGATCCTTTTACAGATTCATCACTAGCATGATTGGACTACACAAAAAGCTTTAGTTAGGGATGCACCAATACCGATACTAGTATCGGTGCCGATCCCAAGTATTTGGGCGAGTACTCGCACTCGCCCACATGATCTGATGCCTAGCCCGATACCTGAGCTTCCTATATCAGGAAGCTGAGCTGTGAGTCATTACACACTGCCCGGGTTCCTGATTGGTCGGGAAGCTGGCCAATCAGGAAGCCGGGCAGCGAGTAATTTCCATCCGCCTAGCTTTCTGATGGGCGGAAAGCACTCGTCACCTGGTGATGAGTGAGCATGGAGCCGGCTTCCCAGCTAATCAGGAAGCTGGGTGCCGTGTAATGACTCGCTGCCCGGCTTCCTGATTGGTCAGCTTCTCGACCGATCAGCCAGGCCTGCTCCATGCTTCCTTGTCATCTGGTAAGAAATTTACTGGGTTGTTCACAAAAGGGTGAAGAGTTTGGAGAAGGCAGGAGAAGTGAACAATCTAAGTTCAACATCGCTGATTTGGGAAAATTTGGTATATAATCCTTATTGGATATTGGCCAGTTGAGAGAGATTTTTAATCAGTTCCTGTCAAAAGGAAGTGAGGGAAAATATCTCCAATAAGAATGAGGACAGCAAAAAATACCTGACAAAGGCTTTAACCCTTTCCTGCTCATTTCGGGGAATGTATTGAGATCAATACATATCCCCTAAAAATGGGTACTCACCCCTGGTATCCGGCTGTAACAGACAGCCCCACACGTTTGTATTTACTGGAGCAGATTGGTCCGGTGTATCTTGCCGGCGCCTTCTCAACCGTTGGTTTTCCAGATAAAGAGTACCCGTTTGTTAGGTGTACTCTGGTTAACATGCAGTTCCAATCCTGGAGTGGGCTGATTCCTGGCTGTAGAGACTGGTATAGTGGGAAGCAGTGGTTCAGGTGCAGGGTTGCGAACTCTTTCCTGTAACTCTAACACTAACCTTTTGTTGGAACCCTAACACTAACTCGCCCTGTAATTCTCACACTCACCTTCACTGTAACCCTAACATTAACCTTCCCTGTAACCCTAACACTAACCCTCCTTGTAAACCTCACACTTTCCTGAAACCCTAACACTAAAAGTCCCTGAAAACCTTACACTATCTCTCCCTGTAACCCTAACACTAACCTTTTGTTGGAACCCTAACACTAAGTCACCTTGTAATTCTCACGCTCACGCTCACGCTCACCCTTTCTGTAACCCTAACACTAACCCTTCTTGCAAACCTCACATTTTCCTTCCTTGTAACCCTAACACTATTCCTCTCTGTAACCCTGGCACTAAAATTTCCTGTAACTCTAACACTAACCCTTCCCTGTAACTCTAACACTAACCTTTTGTTGGAACCCTAACACTATCTCACCCTGTAATTCTCACACTATCATTTCCTGTTACCCTCATATTAATCCACCCTGCAACCCTAACGCCAAAGCTGGCCATACACTGGCCATACGCTGGCCATCGACCTTCTATTAGCCGATGGGGTCAAAACGACGATCGATTTCAACCGCAGTGACGAAAAAACTCCAAGGAGCTGTAACGTCCCTGCGCTCCGTACCGCATCTCGTTTGCGTTCCAGGGTGGAACGCAGCAGAGGGCGTAACCGCCGAGGAATTCCTCCCCATTAGCGGAGGTGCTATGCGTTCCACGCTGGAACGCGGAAGCGCGTCGCGGCCGTGTGACGTCACGGCCGCGGCCTATTTAAACCTAGTGGGAACAAGGAAGGGTGTTCACTATTGGGTTTCTTACGCCCAAACACCCTGGAACTCCGGAGCAAACAGCCCTACCACTGACCAGGACCTACTGGAGGATTCCCCTCAAGCTACCCGGCATCAGTGTCCCTGTTTGACACTCACCTTAAACCGCAAGTAGAACGGGAACCCCTGGGCTCAGCTCATTGGAGCTCAGGCACTACCTAAACCTATAACCCTGTGACATACTGGTGGATGTGGGAGAGGTCTCCAGTCATCACAAAGTTGGGCTGCCTTAAAAACTCCTTTAGCTACTTGCTGGTTTCCTTGGGTTTACGGCTGATGATGCAAGAACCCCAAACTCTCCGCCTGTGACTGAGAGTGACGCCTGGGGTTCGTGACTGAATGCCGTATACCCTCCGCTCGATCATCTTAGACTCCGCAGTTGTGATCCATCTCTGGTTGTAGAGCAACCCCCGGGCGTGACAGGAGCCGGAATACAAAATTCTAACAGTGAATGTGGTTTTCATTCGGGAAACTCCATTGGTCGAACGTTAGACTCAAGCAAAGATTTTGACAAGTGATGGCATTATTGGGCGGTAAAGAAAGATTTTCATTCGGAAATCTACTAGTGTATGGCCAGGTTTAGGGTTATTATTATTATTATACAGGATTTATATAGCGCCAACAGTTGGCACAGCGCTTTACAATATAAGGAAGACATTACAATTACAATACTATTCAAGACAAGATGGAGAGGAGGGCCCTGCCCCTGAGGGCTTACAATCTAAGCTTACACTAACCCTCCCTATAACCCTAACACTATCTCCTCTCAGTTTTGTAAACTTACCCCCTTGTTTGTATACTTACTTCTCCTGATCTGGGATTACCAGGATCCCGGTGCCAGAATCTACTGTTTCATATACAGCATATTCCCATATTCATCTACCTGGATTCACCCAGACCCTCAGCACATTCAACAGCATTCTCTGGGGTGATTCCTGTCATCTACGATGTGACAAATGTGACGCTTCCAACTGTGGTCGCAAGCAGATGTCGAGGAAAGTAAACCAACAAGTTTGTGGCTGATGTACGGAGGTTTCTCATATCTAATGCACTATATATATATATATATATA